TTTTTTTTTAATAAAACCTAAATGAATGATATAATTACACTCATATCTTTAGATTAATTCATTATATATATATTTAAGCATTTACATGACTTATTAAAACTTCTTTTACCCTTTCTCATTCATTTAACATAGAAGGAAAAATAAAAAATAAAATAAAAATAGAGGAGAGAGAAGCTGGGATTTGGAGGACTATGAGCTATTTTTGTCAGACGATCTAGTTGAAAACTTATTTTAATGATTTTATGTATTTTATATTTATGAATTTTAATAGGATCAAATTTTGAAAAAGTTATGATATTTTTATTTTTAGCAAACTTCCACTATGTAACTTTTTGTATATAATAGATATGATCCTCTTGAGCATTTTAGCTATAATAATATTGAATTTCACTATATAAATTGGTACTTATGATTTTCTGAAGTAAATACATAGTTTATTTTTAGTTATTAACTATAAAAGAAAAAAAAATTGTAGAAATAAAATAAAACATTAATCTCATATCCATCATCACTCCACTTGGTCCTTATAAAAGAAAAAAATTGTAGAAATAAAATAAAACATTAATCTCATATCTATCATCACTCCACTTGGTCCTTACCCTTTCCTAAAAATATATAAAACCATAGAGTGATCTAACCACTCAGTATGTTACTAAAACCTACAACTAAAATTATTACAATATAATATGTATAATATGCACTTAATCATTCAATCACTATCAATATGAATATATTATGGAAAAATCATGTAATAATCAATGAAATTATAACATGTTATATAATCAATAAATATTAGCACAACTATATATGTTTATAGTAATGATCAGTAATCGATAATAATATATAAGGGAGCAGTAAACTCTATCATTTATATATATATATATATATATATCAATTCCCCTTATATCAATTTTATCCATTTAGTTTTTAGCAAAAAGTTCATATAAATTCTTTTATATTTACAAACACATGGATTAAAAAATTATAGAAAATATTTATAAAATAGAACAACATGTCTAGAATGCTCTGATGAAATTGATTTTCAAAATAGACACCTATCAGTCTCAGAAAGCTCACTTGTACCAACATGTTTTAATTTCTTAAGGAATTACAATACTTCTCATTTTCATATCTATATTTCCTATAAAATTAGGAGAAAATTATTATAATTAAAACATAATAATATATATGTTATGACTAAGATATTTTATAAATTAGACTTATAATGACTCCTTAATTATTATTTGACAAGGTCAAAATATGTGCTATTATAATTTGGTTACCCAATTAATATTCTCAAGCTTCCAAATATGTCTCTAGCATTGATTTGGGCCCATTTGGACTTGGATTGGACTAATTTTAGTGTCATTGGATTTAGCTCATTGAGACTCTCAATTTGACTATAAGTTTACTGAAATCGGAGTTCAAATGATCATATTTTAAAATTGTTGAATTCAAATACTCCCCATTCAAGAGAATTTTTGGTGTAGTATCAATGATCGATCACACCACAGATCTTATTTTAAAGAAATTATGTCAACCTACACTCTTGTAAATATAATAACATGTCTTCAATCAACCTAAATCACTTAATAGTTTCAAGTCAATATTTATTGCTTTTACATATTGTCATATCATGTAATTATAATAGCAAACATTCAATAAAATTTTCATAACATATAAATAAATCCAATGTGCTTATTTGCATGCATGTATTATGCCAAAGTACATGTTATGCTAAATAGATAGTAATTGTATCTATACATATATTTCATATTCCTATTTCAGTACACTCATTTATGCTTATTTGAATCACATCTTTATCCCATTCATTTCATATAAAATAGCATAAATATGAAATAATCTAGTAAAATCTGAATATAACTATGTTAAAATGCTCAAAATAATGATATATATCATATATCAAAAGTTATATAGTGAAAAATATGCTAAATAAAAAAATTATATATTTTTTTTTCAAATTTAGGTATTAAAATTTGACAAATCTCAACTCATCGAAAATAGATGTAGGATTAAGGTTGCTTCTACAATTAGAGAAATTTTTATAAATGAAGTGACATAAAATACCAATCAATTCCCTACTTTCTCTATCCTCTATCTTCTCTCTCCCCCTCCTATCCTCTTCTCCTCTACGTTCTCACCTAGCCATATAAGAATGGGGAGTCAAGGTGTAAGTGAGCCGAGTTGGCTCGAGCTCAACTTGTTAACAAGCTTATGAGTCAAGCTTGTCAAGCCATGAGTTCGAGCTCGTGCCCATACTAGAGCTCATATAATAAAAAAGCTCAAGCTCAGAATGGCTCAACTTGAAAGCTTATTAAATGCTTGATTATCTTAAAATATATTTAAAAAGTAATTTAAATTAAAATTATATAATATATTTGTTAATAATTTTAAATTAATTCTACATTAAAAAAATTTAAGACAAAAAAATGAAAATTTTAATCTAAAATTAAGAATTTGAGCTGAACAATTGAGTCAAGCTCGAGTTTTACAAATGAGCTTGAGCAATCATGCCGAGTTTGAGCCTATAAACTTTTTTTAATAAATTGAGCTCAAGCTTGAGCTTAGTAAGAACTAAATAAGCTTAGTTCAATTAGTCAAATACTTGACTTGACTCAACTCAACTCGTTTACACCCCTAATGGGGAGAGGGATGGGGATAATAAGGGTTATTATAATTTATAAATGTATTTAGAAAATTTATTATAAAAAAACAATCTTTTGGGTTTAGTTCCCTAACATTTTACACCTCAATGCTGCAACACTCACTTAAATCTATGTAAACTAGAGAGTTTGGCACCACAGTGCCCATAATCCAACGCCACTGTATCCCTACCAAACTTCAAGATTTACATGAATTTTGCATAAATTAAATTGAGCTTATTACAATAACGAGCACTTGATGCTAACTTAACCATTCATTTAGTTGAGGTTGTAGATATTGTATAAAAGGATAAGGTAATAGATCATGAGATAAGGAAGGAGGTGTAGGAGATATGGGATCAATCACTTTGCATGATATTATATACACTTATAAAGATATGTAGAATATATGAGATGTTATTCCATCTCTTAGTATTATACAGAGTAATAAGACGAAAGTTATTGGATTATGGGAGAAAGAGGCCAGAGAATAGCAAGTAGTTGATTGAAAACTTTATAGATTCATAGGCAAGAGACAAGCATGGATTCATATGCCATTGATCCTCTCAACTCGATTGATGAAGAGAAACACTTTCTTATATTTGATGGCATGATTGGTTTACAATTCCAAATATAGAAGGATAGAAATGGACATTGAAAGTACAACATGATTCAATATTTAAATACACCCACAACATAACAAATTAATGATAAATCCATTAGTTTATCGATAGAGTGAGTTTTTAAATACTTAAATACACTCACTCCATTTTTTTGTAGCACGTATATTTCTAATGTTATTAAATAAGAAAGCGAATATGACAATACCTAAATATTTATAAATCATGCATTATTTTGTTGGGAAAATTATTCATGTACGGTAAAGCATCAATCTCCACATACAATAATCTAAAGAAGAAAGCTTCCTTTAAGTGTTATAGAGAAGCCATCATGTATGTCAATGGAAAGGAAGAAACATTCTCGAAGTAATGCGCTAATACCGAGCTCATTTGTTTTCTAATGAACATTAATAAAGTTTATTAGTGATATGTAAGCTCACCACTTATGATGGTCATGATATTTAACACTCCATACTTCTTGCAATTGATCAACAGAAATCTTATAAGTAATGATAAGTTTGTTTTGCAACTGATTCCCTATATTGCTTGAAATATCATTCTTATTTGGCAATAGGCCTAAACTTTTCTCATCAAAATATCCTTTGAAGTTGAGGGGCAACACAAAAAAACTTTCCCGAGTTAACATTTAGTTAAACCATTTGAAATTTAAATAATTAAAGTAATGCTTGTTGTATAGCCTAATGAGTGATATAAATCATATTTGCAATACAATACATAATTTACCTCACTGCATAGAAATTATATGTAAAGGTTGCATCTAATTGTATAAATTTCTATAGTGATAATTTATGTGCATATTTATTTGACAACATTATAGACCCATATGCTCATTCATAACAAATTGAATTATTTTGTAAACATTTTTTCACTCATCTATTTTTTGATTGTTTCAATGTAAATTGTTTGTTTATATTGTAAACATTTATTCTTTGATTGGCTATTTGTATTTAGATCTATTATGTTATAGCTTTTGAATTGTACTTTGTTGTGTTGTTGTTGTTGGATTGCTTTGTGTTATGTTATAGCTTTTTGATTACATTATAATATATCGAGTTTATAATCTTTCTGCTATTGCTATTGTGATTGTGCTTTGTCGTATCAACCTTATAATGTGTTACATTAAAATTGTTGTATTGCATTATGTTATTTCTATCTTAGGTAAACCCTATATGAACATGGTTGGAATCATGTTTAAATGGTGTGAATTATGTTTGAACAACATTTTAATCATGTTCGAATTGTGTTCAAACTATGTACTAGTCTAATATATATATATAATTTTATTACTATCAGCAATGCTTAATTTTATAAAGGAGGATTGACATATATATGACTATATATTATTCTACTTATATATCTATCACCTAAAATTTTAATATTACATATATACCACTCATAGTTCACTTTCATATAAATATGGGTGGTGTGAATGAAATATGAGTGCCATATTTGATATTAAATAATAAAAGTTGATATGTATGTAATATTAACATTTTAAGTATTAGATATTTAAATATAGTAGTATAAAATGATACTTATGTTAAGAAAGAAAAAAAAAAGATATATATGTAGATCCCACTATTATAAAATGTTATATCTATAGGGTTTCATATGCAAAAAAACTTAAAAACTCAAGCGAAAAGGAGCAGATGTTGTAGCATTCCTAGGATTTTTGTTTATGGGTTGGTGGCACCGATCTCGTTATCCATATCTTTGCTCTGAATAGCTCTTCTGATTACGAGCTGCGAAGGAGCAACAAGATAGAAGAACGACAACGATTTCAATGGCGTCAGCACCCGGAAAGCTCGCATACCCCCAGTTCTCCGGGCTGCGGCGCACGTGTGCCTGCGTCTCCAACACTCACCCCCTCTTTTTGCGCCGTGCCGACGCCGCAGCTTCCCGAAGATCTTTCGGCGGAATCTTCGCTATGGCCGGAACTGGCAAGGTGTTCAGATTCTTATTCTTATTTCTAATCCGTTTCTCCAGGTTTCATGGTGGCTGAGTTGATAGGAGCTCAGCCTCAACGCGAATTTCGCTTTAGATGCCTTCGAAGATTACGATCTAGTGTTTTCTTCTATAGGAATAATGCATCCATGCAATGCCATGATTGAATGCAATATTGTGGCACTATTTGTCCTGTGAAATTATTTTTGGCCGAATCAACTACTTGGCGGACTCTAAACTGATCTATCGTTGAGATTTGGAACCAAATAAACAGAGTGATCTCACAGGGCAACTTTTATGCCATTTCCGTTTGTAAATGCGTTGAAATAAAATCAATTTAGCCAGTTTCGGCAAGAATAGGTGTTTGCATGACCTCTTATTCTCAAATTATAATAATTCGTTGCAGGTTTCCTTATATGGGATGCGGGAAAGCGGCTCATATAATTTTTGGGAAAGCTGGGCAATGTTATCTAGATTCTAAATTCCGTTATTTTCCAAAAATGTACTAGACTTTTAATAGATTGGTCCTATTTCGTTCAAAATAGGTTTTATTAAATCTGGTTTTGATAAAAATCTAATTCTTAATTCCTATCAAATCCTCGGGCTGTTTGTTTGTTTGGGAGAATTTGTGATTTAAGGAGATTTGGATATTTTTATGGATTACTGTGAGTAGCATATCACTAACAAGCTATATAATTATTCTTATAACCATAATTCAGAACATAACAAGGGCAATTACATGGCCATTGAATGAACCATTAAAGCTATCACAAAATTATGATAGGCAGCAACAGTGACATGATAGAGACTACATCCTCTAGTTCCTCTTATGGTTGACCCGATCTTGATGGCTTCTATATGGCTGCTTGTATGGTTCAAACCTGAAACCCTCTTCCAATGAGCGGACATATTGGTTGCAAGGATCCCATAAAGCCATTTATGTTGGAGTGATGTTTTGCCCATGAATTGTAGGCTCTTGGTTCTGCCCCGGAAAGACAAGATGGTATTATACCTATGAGAAATTGTGAGTAAGTGCATAACATTGCAAACAATTAGTTTTAATTTGTTCTAAAGTGTAAAGTAATTATAAACATTAGTAAGTAAAAAAAAAAAATTTCATTCTATAAAACCATGCTCATTTCTTGTCTTCAATTTGTTTCTTGTAACCTTCTTCTTATTGTGCAGCAATCACCTTGAATTGTGAGGATTTTGGTGTCCTTGAAGTTGTTTACAATGACGTGGTTTAATAATTAAGATAGTAATTACATATGCTATAATTTTATCTAATTATATATGAATAACTTACATTCATGGCTTAAGTAAATGTTGTGATTGTATGACATAATGTCTCACCATGAAATGGCTCTCTATTCGTTGCTTCTAAGTCTAGGCATTCATCATATATCTTTACTTCTCCCTTTTCTCGATCACATATCATCTTTAATTGCGACATATTGAAGTATACATTATCATTTTGATATTAGCCTATGAAATTATACAAGCAATGATAATATTTTCTCGGATTTGCAATTGAAATTGTCACTTAAGTGGTAACATTTAAAATCTTTCCTTCCATATGTTGTCCTAACAAAATTTTTTACTGAACATGATGATTGCATTTCATTACCTACACATGTTCCTTTTATTAATCCCCTTAATTGATAATGACAACCCTAAAAAGTATGAGGAGCTTGTGTTTTTTGAATAACCCGAGTCTAGTTAAAGTAATAGCTAAGTGGTACTCTAAAACCTCCCTACTCAATAACCTATTGCATCACTTACAATTAACTGTTGAGCTTTCCCATTTCAGTGCCTTATATGGAAATTGTTTTTCAAATTAAATTTTGGCCATGATATTTTGTTATGTGAACCCCTTTTCATTACAAGAAGGATTTTGATGTTGTTAGTGAGCAATAATAGGTGGATTCGTTCTGTCATTGGTTCTAATAGTGTCATAGAAAATGACAACGTATTATTGTATGCTTCGAGTTGAGAAGTATTATCTAACAATTAAATCAAAATTTTCCATTGAAGCATAGGTAGAAATGCTTGTTCCGTTGGATATGGGAGTTGCATGGAACATTGTCGGGCAGCCCTAAATATTATGTTGATCATGATTGAAACGGCAGCTTACAGTTACTAAGAGTGCTGGAAAAACTCAAAGAAATGATGATAATCATGGCCTGAGGTACGCCCTATAGAAAGACCTCCAATTGCACAACAACAAACGTTTTTTTATTCTCGGATAGTAGAATCCTACTCAATAATAAATCTCTAAGATGAATAAAATAAACAAATGACAAACAAAAACAAATATATGATTGAGCTGAATGGCCCATAAGCACATCATTCATATACCATTGGACAAAATAAGTTCGAGTGTATATTGCTCTAGGAGGTGAGATAGTCCTTCAATTAACTTCAAACCTTGAAAAAAATCAAAGGCTTCCTCGTCGCACTTTCTAAAAGATAGCACACAACAGGAGGCGATATGTGCCGAATGAAACTGTTCATATCTTCACATGAACATGCATGCTCATTTAGGATAAACATAACAAGTACTGAGTAGCATTCCAGTGTTCATAACATTACAAGAAATTTTGATGTCTAAAATACAGATGCAAAGTGTACTATGTAACATATCACTTAGGCAAATGATTTGCCAATAAATACACCTAAGTAGTCAAAGAAAAAAAGAACAAACTATAATCACATGCATGAGAAAACTTAGCATCCCAAGCATAAACAAATCTACCATCACCTACGTATTATTAGAATTAGGCTACCACACGGGTATGAACGATAATATTCTTCCTTTAACTCCACACATCTGCTAAAGCAGCTACATTGCCACTTATGCCATGGCACATGCCAGGATAATGTAGTAGCTCTTCTTTTCACGTACCTTTTTTACTTTATGCAGTAGAAGTTTCTTTTATTCTCTTTCCTGTAGCGAACAAAAAAGCTATTTCTGATGTGCTGTGATCTGCCATATTCGAGTAAACTTTTTGCTACTTTGTCTAGATGAAATTAATATTATCTATTAGTTATGGTAAGCTGGTATGGTCATTATTAACAAGCATCTGTATTTAGAAGAATGAAAAGGTCAAGACCAACATATTGATATTCATTACCAAGAAAGGAGGAAAAAAAAAATTAAGAGAATGTATAAATTTATATCTCAATTCATCAATGGTTTCTGCTGTGGAAATGAGTTTGTCTTAGCCAATCTTATTCGAGAACTAAAGTTGAAGTTGTTATATTCAAGATGTATCCATTTGACATCCTTTATCAATCACCAATTATCCTGATATCTGCTACACCCTCTACGTAGGCTTAGCTTTATGTTTTGGATCCAATAATATCCACAGGCAACTCCAAAACCTTTCCAACAAAAAAGGTCAACTAACAAGAGAAAATAGGAGTGAGATGGAGGATTTAGGGTGATGCGGACATCGGTACGAAGATTTGGCGCATCTATCACAGGAGGTGTCGTAAATCAACGGCTATAATTTAAATCTTCAATTATGAGTTATTTTTCTGAATTTTAGTTCTTATTTGAT